GTTGGCAAGCGAGTCGGTCAGACAAGCGAGTTGGTCACCCCACCAACTTTGATCACCTACTCTATCTTAACACACAATGCCTCCACGCCGCGCTCCTCTTATGCAGTTAAATGAAGCAGATATTCAGCTTGCTCTCTTATCTATAGATTCTGCCCAAATTCAGAGTACGCAACGCGCTGCTACAGTCTTTAATATCCTAAAATTAACCCTAATTGACCAGCGCGCTAGAAAGCGCGCGCGACGCGATTGCTAGCCTAACTTAAGGAAGCTTACCTAGAGAGAAGAGGAGGTGATTGTCAGCTATATACTTCACCTAGATCAGCGTGGATTTGCGCCTACCTACGCAGCTGCACGTGATATGGCTGATAAGCTGCTGGCTGCACGCGGCGCTGGCCAGGTTGGGCAGAAGTGGCCAGCTAACTTTGTTAAGCGTACAGACAGTCTTTGGACGTGTTTTAACTAAGTGTATAATAGGTAGCGAGCTCTGTGTGAGGATGCAATATTAATAAAGAGGTAGTTTAAGCTTGTAGAAGAGATAAAGGCTAAGCAGGGTATCTACAATAAGGACGTCTATAACTTTAATAAAGCTAGCTTTATAATAGGCAAGATTACAACATAGCTGGTTATAACAGGAGCAGAGAGGAGAGGCAGGCCAAAGACTCTTCAGCCAGGCAATCGCGAGTGGGTAACGCTGATTGCTGCTATCAGCGCTGCTGGCTGGTCAGTGCCACCATTCCTTATCTTCGCTGGTCAGTACCACCTAGGCTGGCGGATGGGTAGGGTATGCTTTTTTACGTTTTGGCTTATAGCTTCTTAACTAGCAGAGATACGCTTACATAATCTATTATTTAATAGAAGCGCCTAGTATTGCGCCTTCTAATAAAAAAAGAATTAGCTTATTCCGCCTAGTATTAGCTAAGTTATCAACACTACCTAGCAAAGTATACCTATTAATAGGTATGCTTGCTAGGTACCCCCCCTTTTTTGACCTTTTCTAGCCTCTAGCTTGTGTAGTTTAATAGTTATAACAAAACCCTCTACTACAGAAATGTAGAGGTAGTTTTTCTCTTTCTTTTAAGCCCTATTTTGCTAGAATCCATGTATTATTGACAAAGTTTTGGGGGGTACCCACGAAGGACGTTGGAGTATACCCATTCCGCCAGCCTAGTACCACCTATCAGCCTGGTATAAGGAGGATATCCCACGCAACTAGGCAATTGCAGTTAGCGACAATGGCTGGACGAATAATGAGCTTAGAGTTAAGTGGCTAAAGCACTTCAACGCTTACACGCAGGCTCGTAGTATAGGCACGCGTCGCCTGCTTATTATTGATGGCCATAAGAGCCACCAATCTCTAGCGTTCTAGGAGCTCTGCAAGGAGAACAACATCTACACGCTCTGTATGCCACCTCACTCATCTCACCTACTCCAGCCGCTTAATGTTGGCTGCTTCTCGCCATTAAAGCGCGCGTACAGCTGTGAGGTGGAGAGCCTTATGCGCAACCACATTAACCACATCACCAAGCTTGAGTTTCTGCCAGCGTTCAAGGCAGCGTTTGATCAAGCGTTCACGCCAGCCAATATCTGCTCAGCCTTCCGCGGCGCAGGCCTTGTTCCTCT